CCCCCCCCCCCCGGGGTGGCTCAGTCCATCCCGTCCCTGCAGCGCCCCTACCCCTTCCGGTGGTTCAACCCATCCTGCTCTTGCACTGCCTTCCCCCCCGTCCCTGGGTGGTTCAGCCCATCACGTCCCTACCCCTGCAGTGCTCACCCCAGCTTTATCCCCTCCCCCAGGCCCGGTTCCTGCGGTGTCCTTTCTGGGGAGCCCTGGACCCCTCAGCTCACAAGGCTGCGGCTCCTCCCACGTCCTGCAGGGCCTAGGCCCCACATCTGCCCCCCCCCCTTCTCCTTTTGCAGCAGGAATCATCATCTGGCCTCTTGCTCTGCCCCCAGGGTCTGCAGGCGCTGGCGCCGTCTGGTGCAGGACAAGGTGCTCTGGAGACATGTGGATCTAACACCCTATGAGGTACTGTGCCCCCCCACACACACACACATCTGTCCCCTGTGGCAGCTGTGTGGGGCTGACATAGTAACCCCGCAGGCAGAGTCAAGCCAGAGCAGTGCCTGCAGCTGGCACCTGACCTGAGGCAGCGCTGGTTAAGATCACAGTACATCTGGTCAGGAAGCAGGCTCCAGCTGGGAGGACCCCCAAGGACTGCAGTGCTGCTGTCCTGTCCCTCATCCGCTCACATTTCCATGCACAGTTTCACTGGGCAGTGTCCACTGGCTCCTTGGACTAATTTGAGGGCCAGTGCACACTGGCTGGTATGCTCCATTTGGCGTTCCCTCTCATTTTGAATCTTTGACCTCCTCTCTTGTCCCTGTTTGGTATTTCATTTGTTCCCTGAATTTAATGGACACATACCCAATAGCCCCCTCTATCAATGGGAGGTGCTAACTTGCTCTGTGGGCAGGAGGCCCATGTTCCTGATATGTGTTAGATAGGCCTGAGAGTGCATAGGCAAGTGAGGGAGGAAGAGAGGCACCAGGAAGCCAGTTCAAACAGCCAGGGCAGCTCTTGTATTGACTGGCAGGAGCAGGGGGCTGTGGAGAGAAGGCCAAAACTTATTCAAAGAGAGAGACACCATAAGGAGCAGATCAGTCTTTGGATGGCATTAATAGCATAACAAGGAGGGTGGAGGCTGCACTTTGATGTGAAGTGGCAGCATTCCAGCCCTGCTGGAGTGTATGAGCCAGTATATTGGTGGACAGCAGTGCCAGGATCTACAGCAATCTGGGCAAAAAGGGATATCATTTGTTTGAGGAAGATGGGAGAGGTGGATGGGGGTGTTGGGGCCTCGTGCTGCTGTACCAATGTCTCTATCCATGGGTAAAGAGCTCTGGTGCTGGCTTTTTTGCAATCAGATCAGCTCCAGGATCCTGTGGCACCTGTTGCGGCATCACCTGCGCAATAATGTGAGGACACTGAAGGTAAGAGGAACCCTTTGCTCTTCAAGGAAGCAGGAGTTCCTCTCCCCAGCGCTGCTGCAGGCCCTGGGAAAGCAGTGTCCTGGCCTCCAGAGGCTGTGCCTGGTGTGCGCCGACCTCCGGCGGCTTCCTTACGACTTCATGCCCTCTTCTCTGATGACCTTGGAGCTGAGCCGCTGTGAGATCCCTGGGATGTGGTTCCGGCGAGCTACAGGTCCAGACAGCACTAGTGCCCCACCACAGCTGAAGCATCTCTTTGTTTACGAAGTCCCTTCCTTTTCCGATTGGCATCTGCTGGACGTCTCTTCTCAGACTCGCCTGCAGACGTTGACCCTCTGTGGAACCTACCGGGTGACAGATGCAGGGCTTCAGAGAGCCGCGCCACACCTGGAGGCTTTGGAGCACCTCACGCTGCGCCAGTGCATCCTGACAGACTTTGCCACTCACTTCATTGGGCGCTACATGAAACGGCTCCGCACTTTGGAGTTCAGTGATGCTCCATCTCTGACTGATGCTGGCCTTGCTTGCTTAGTGCCCTTGAAGTACCTGGAAACCCTCTGCCTTGCATCCTGTGCTAAGCTTTCCTGTGATGCCATTGTCACTGTGGGTCAGGCACTGCCCCAGCTAAGGAATCTCAATTTAAGTGGGATTTCTTTTGATGACCAGGCAATACGTAAAATTCAAGCAAATTTGCCGAATTGCTGTTTTTCACCCCCCTGAAATGCTTGCTTTTGAGAGAGGTGCGCTTCTAGTCTCAGATACATGGTGGCCAGATTTCTCCATGTGCTACAACAGGGAGTCCAGCATTGAAGGGCAAGGGCCATTTTGGTGGCCTGTAAAACATGAAAACGGATCAGTGGAAACTTCAGTTCTAAAGTGACTCCTTCCCCTTCCTGTACCAAGAAAATATCAAAGGGACACAGTGATACTTGCTGAGCTTATTAGGCTGATTCAGTACAGGGTTGTTTTAGATTTGTAGTTGGCAACCTAGGGCCTTTCTTCATGGTTGAGTTTCTTTTTTGCATTAAACATCATGCAGCAGCTCACCTGAGTGATAGCAAAGGGACGAAGTTGGTGGTTCACAACCTGCGGGCTGCATGTGGCCCAGTCAGCATGCTGCTGTGGTCCATGTAACATCCTGTTAAAAAGTAAACTTTGCTGCCCGTATTTTGTGAGCCAGGGAGAAAAATTCAGGAAACGGGGAGGGTTTCCCCTTGCATGCTGCCAGAGTTCCAGCCTGCAAGGGGCTGCTTAGGGCTGGGGGGAGCAGGAGGAGAGTGATTGGGGGCAGGGGGCACACGTGCACGTGGCAGCCAAGCAGCATGGACAGCAGCTCCCACAGATCCCTCCAGGTAAGTCTGTGCAGGGGGGAGGAACAGGTTAAGGCCCCAACAGTGAGAGAGAGGGGGCAGCGCAGGGCTGAGGCTGGGGTCACTGTCCTGCCAGAGTGGTGCATGGGACCTGGGGCCAGAATGTGTGGCTGCAGCACCTGGCTGGAGAGTGGGACAGAGCCACAGTCGGCTCATCCAAGGTGCGGCAGGGGGGCTGGCTCCCCACCATTGCACATACTCTCAGGGAGGGAGGAATGGGGGGGCACATGCCCCCTAGCTTTGTACTTGAGGCAGGGGTGGATGTGGGCTGCCTGCTGCAAGCTTGGGGCTCCTCACCCTGCTGCCCTCTCTGGTGGGGCCTCCATGGCACAGTGTGGTGGGGAGGCTTGTTGCTGCTGCCAGGAGCCCTACACCAGCCACAGCAAGGTGCCCCTGCCCACCCAGCAGCAGTGGAGAGCACAATTTCACACCACTACTGCTGCCAGGTGAGCAGGAGACATATTGTCATAGCAGTGTCGCCAGGGTGGGGCTCCTGGCAGTAGGACCGAGCCTCCCTGCCTGCTGGTGCCAGATTCTGTCCACTGGGTCACAAAGGCCCCAGGGGAAGGGCAGCAGGGTGGGGAGCCCTGCACCTGCAGCAGGCAGCCCACATCCACCCCCAACAGGCTCTGCCCCAGCTGTGCCACTGGTGGGGGCAAAGGGGCGCCAGGCTCCACGCTCCACTCCAGCTGCAGCACGTGCTACTGCCTGTGAGCAGCAGCCAGGGCTCATAGATTGTAAGGTTGGAAGGGACTTTGGAAGATCATCAGGTCCAGCCCCCTGCGCCAAGCAGGACAGACAGCTGGGGTCAGGTGATCCCAGCAAGGTGACTGTCCAGTCTCCTCTTGAAGAATTCCAGGGTAGGTGATTGCACCACCTCTGGAGGGAGCTTATTCCAGAGTGGGCACCTTAGTTGTGAAGTAGTTTTTCCTAATGTTGAGCCTGAAACAGTCTTCCAGGAGTTTGTGGCCATTACTCCTAGTTTTCCCCAAGGATGCCCTGAACAGTTATTCACCAAGCCCTTGATGTACGCCTCTGATGTAGGGGGCTCAGTGAACAACTGTTCACCGAGTTCTTCGGGCACTGCTGGGGGGGGGGGGCAAGGGGCTAAGCCCTGGCCTCATAGCTCTGATAGTTGGGGGTCCCGTCAGCTGTGGGGTGTGGCCCACATAACACATTGAGAGCTGCAAGTATGGCCCAGTATGGCAAATAGGTTGAGAACCACTGAACTAAGTGAACCATCCTCCCTTTGCCCAAGAGGGACTGCCAGTCCCAAACCAGAGACACTAGCTAAAACCTAGCTCTGATTGAAAATAATGAGCCATGCAGCTGCCCTGCATGCACATTCCACAGCATGCCTAGAAGGAATGGCTCACAGGACTCTGCCCTGGGTTTGTGCTGACAAAGTTGATACTTTCTTGACAGAGCTTTGCTGTCAGATCATATCTGAAAGATTTTAAATTATTTTCTTTGTGATGTAGAAACCTCTGGACAAACTCCTCCCTTAACTTAAACAGCACATGACTTGCAGATGAATCAAAGCACTTACAGTAGTGTATAGGAGCAGTGTTATGCAGCCAGAAGTCAGACACAGGGCCTGGTTTACTGGGTCATGTGGCAGTGTCCAGCTCCTTATACCTCTTCACATTTTCATTTTTACGCTCTGCTCGTTACCTGATGCTATAAAACTCTGTGTTAACATCAGCAAAATTAAGGTAGCACTGCAGAGTTTTGTGCCTGAAAGCAAAGACCATTGTTGAATACACTGTAATCAATATTTTGTTACTTTTATTTTACCTTTAAAATAAAAATGCTTTCAAATCTGCAAAGCTGCCTCTTGCCATGACGTTTCAACTCAACTGTGACAGCATTTCATAAACTTGGGTTTCTAACAGGTCAGGGGAACACCTGCGTTTGTGGCCATTTCAGCCTTGCAAAAGTGTGTTGTTCAAAAGAGTCAGTTCCAACATGGCAAGTCTTAAAAATCTGTCAGAGAAGAAGATTGTGATTAAGTCTCACTCCAGGTCTTGCACTGATGAGAGCAGGCATTGTTTTTGTCCAGCCTGAGGAGGATGTGGCTGCCTTCCGTAAGTAGCTCTGCAACAGAGGTGTCAAACTGAGCCAGATCTGGACTATGGGGCTCCTTTCGGGCCAGATTCAGCCTAGGGCACAGGGCAATAGCAGCAGCTTGTTTACCTCTACCTCCGGCACAGGGAATAGGGCACATGGCAGACGCTCCTTCAGCACAGGGCGGCAGCAGCAGGGCCAGTAGAGAAGGAGGCAGGACCATGGCAGTTCAAATGGGCACAGTAGCCAGGGAGTGACCATGGCTGTATCACCCCTCCCTCAACCTCCTACCATTAAACGCCATATCCACCAGGACCCAAGGCCCCCAGAGTCTGTGGCAGGCCGAACCCCAGGGCATGTCCCTCAGTCGCCTACCAATGTCCAATGGACTGGACAAAGTCTCACTTAAGAATACAGATTCCCAGTGATACATGGTCCTTGAAAATAGTGTACCTGCAAGAGTGTTTGAGAGGCAGTTAAAACACATAAGTTTGTGACAAAATTCAATAAAAGGAAATGGAGCCACTAAAGGAATTACTGTTGTGTGATCAACAGATTTCCTGATAGTGGTTACTTTTTAAAAAAAAAAGTGAGCAGTTGAGATAGGAAGGCCATCATTTCATAAACAAAATGTTTCCGTAAGTGGCAATCATGGAACCCAAAAAGCAAGGGAGGGCAGAGGCAGCCTAGGTGCTATTATAGGACAAGTAACCTTCATTTCACCTACAGGATAAATATAAGGAGCTCTAGAAAATAAAAGATCAAGAAAGAGGGAAAATAGAATATAATTTAATTGCGGAGAACACAAAAAAGCCCCTGAAGCACCTGATAGAACCACAGTGCATCTCTATACACCTCCTTATTTTGCATGGGTAGGAATTGCAGGTGTATCCTCAAGATCTCTTGAGATAGGGCTTTGTCAGTGGGATCATCACAAACCAGTCAAAAGGAAGAGTTACAGTTTAAAAACATTCAAAAAAATCAAACAAGTCCGGAGCTTAGAAAAACACTTTACTCCAACATTTGCTGGAGGGGTTCACTGTATTCCCGCACGTGCTAAACCACCGTCTTTGTTTCAGTTTCTAATGAAAAGTTTCCCTCTCGCAGCAACCCCCCAACACCTCACGGCCAGCACAGCTACGGCCTTCACGGGCTCGCGCCAGCAACGCAGGAAGGGTTACGACCAGCTCGCGCCGGGCCCTGGGGTAGGATACTTGCCCTTGACGCGCACTTCTTTGCCCAGCCGGTAGCTGCAGACCACCTCGGTCATCCTGGCGGCGGGGCGGGGCGAGCACTCACCGGGCAGACTCCGCCCCCAGCGTAGACCCTAGCAGAGGGCGGTGCCAGCGCTGACCCGGAAGCGCATGTCCATCTCCCGGAACTGCACGCGGCATGGTGGCGGTGGTGGCCGAGCCGAGCTTGGACGCGCTGGCGGACTCGCTGCTCCTGGAGATTCTCTCGCAGCTGCAGCTGAGGGAGCGGCTGCTTGGGGCCAGGTGCGACCACGTGGCTCCCAGAACCCGTCGGTGCAACCTCTCCTCCCTGCGTAATGGTTCAGTCCATCTCGCCCCTGTCGTGCCCCTACCCACTTGGGATGGGTCAACCTATCCGCCTAATGAACCCCCCTAACCCTGGGTGGTTCAGCCCATCTCGACCCTGCCCCTTCATTCCCCCACCCCGGCCCCCGAGTGGTTCAGCCCAGCTTTCACCCCTCTACTAAGCACCTCCCCTAGGCCGGCTCCCTGGGGTGTCCTTCCTGGGCAGCCCAGGGCCCATTGGCTTACAGGGCTGCGGCTTCTCCCACATCTGCCTGTCCACCCCCCCTTACTTCTTCTTCAGCAGGAATCATCACCTGGCCTCTTGCCCTGCCCCCAGGGTCTGCAGGCGCTGGTGCCGCCTGGTGCAGGACAAGGTGCTCTGGAGACATGTGGATCTAACGCCCTATGAGGTACTGGCCGAGCTGCTTGCCCCCCCCAGGGCACCTCTGTCTCCTGAGGCAGCTGTGTGAGGCTGATGTAGCAACCCATCAGGCAAAGTCAAGCCAGAGCAGTGCCTGCAGCTAGCACCTGACCCAAGACGCACTGCCAGCTTCAACACTATCTGACGTGGGAGGAGACTTCAGCTGGGAGGCCTCTGGAGGACTGCAGGGCTGCTTTCCCGTCCCTCGTCCACTCACATCTCTAGGCAGAGTTTCACTGGGCAGTGTCCGCTGGCTCCTTGGACTTGTTTGAGGGCCATTGTACACTATCTGGTGTGCTCCACTCAGTGATCCCCCTTGTTTTGAACCTTTGACCTCTGCTTCCATCCCTGTTTTGTATTTTGCTTATCCCCTATATTTACGCATACCCAATAGCCCCTTCTATCTATGGGAGGTGCTAACTTGCTCTGTGGACAGGAGGCCCATGTTCCTGATATGTGTTAGATAGGCCTGAGAGTGCATAGGTAAGCGGGGGAGGAAGAGAGGCGTTAAGAAGCCAGTCCAGACAGCAGGGCAGCTCTTGTATTGACCGGTGGGAGCAGGGGCCTGTGGAAAGGAAGCCTAAATGTTATGGGAAGAGAGAAATACCATAAGTAAAGGGGATGAACCAGCCTCTGAAGGACATTAATAGCTTAATAAGGAGGGAGGGTTTGAGCTGGTTTGGAGGATGGAGGCTGTGACTGGATGTGAAGCAGCAGCATTCCAGCCCTGCTGGAGTGCATAGGGGAGTGACTCTGAGCATCAGTGGCAGGACCTGCAGCAATCTGGGGAAAACAGGATGTCACTTGTTGGAGGAAGATGAGAGAGATGGATGGGGGGTTGGGACCACCTGCTGGCCTACCAATGTCTCTATCCATGGATAAAGTGCTCTGGTGCTTGCTTATTACACTCAGATCAGCCTGAAGAACCTGCGGCACCTGCTGCAGCATCACCTGTGCAGCAACGTGAGAACACTGAAGATGAGAGGAACCCTCTCCGAGGCACTGCTGCAGGACCTGGGGAAGAAGTGTCCAGGCCTCCAGAGGCTGTGCCTGTTTGCGCACCAAGCTCCGGTATAAGATAGACTCATACGTTGTGCCCTCTCCTCTGATGACCTTGGAGCTGAGCCGCTTGGAGTTGTCTCAATGGATATTTTTTGCAAAATCTGAAGGCACCAGAGGCCTCTTACAGCTGAAGCATCTCTTCATTTACGAAGTCCCTTCTTTTTCTGATCTCCATCTGCTAAACATCTCTTCTCTCGTTTGCCTGCAGACGCTTACTCTCTCTGGAACCAACCAGGTGACGACTCTGGGGTTTTGTGTAGCCTTATCATACCTGAAGGCCCTGGAGCACCTCACACTGTGCCAGTGCACCCTGAAAGACTCTGCTACTCACTTCATTGGGTGCTACTTGAAACAGCTCCACACTCTGGAGTTTAGCAACACTCCCTTCCTGACTGATGCAGGCCTGCCTGACTTAAAGTCTTCGAAGTACCTGGAACCTCTTTCCCTTGAGTCCTGTGTTAAGCTTTCCTGTGATGCCATTGTCGCTCTGGGTCAGGCACTGCCCCAGCTGAAGAGTCTTAATTTAAGGGGGATTCCTTTTGATGACCAGACAATATGTAAAATTCAAGCAAGTTTGCCCAACTGCCATTTTTCACCCTCCTGAAATGCTTGGTTTGGAGGGCATTATGCATCCGTGTGGTGGCCAGATTTCTCCAGGTGCTTCAACAAGGCATCAAGCATTGAAGGGCAAGGACCATTTTGGTGGCTTGTAAAATATGAAAACGGGTTAGTGGGAACTCAGTTCTAAAGTGACTCCTTCCACTTCCTGTACCAAGGAAATATCAAAACCAGGTGGAGGTGCACAGTGATGCTTGCTGGGCCTGTTAGACTGATCCAGTATGGGGCTGTTTTAGATTTGTAGTTGGCAGCCCAGGACCTTTTTTGTAGCTGAGTCTCTTTTTTGCATTAAACATCATGCAGCAGCTCACCTGAGTGATAACATAGGGACGAAGTGAATTATCCTCCCACAGCCCAAGAGAGGCTGCCTGTCCCAAACCAAATAGTCCAGCTAAAACCTAGCTCTGGTTGAAAATGAGTCACACAGCTGGACTGCATGCATATTTCAAAGCATGCCTAAAGTGAATTGTTTGCAGGACTCTGCCCTGGGTTTGTGTTGACAAAGAGGATACCGTCTTGTGGCAGAGCTTTGCTGCTTTGCTGCCCAGATCGGATTTGACAAAAATCTTGAATTATTTTCTTCATGGTGCAGAAACCTCTATATCTGGCTCCCAACCTTTTTTTGCTGTGATCCTAAATCTAGGTCACAATCCCCGCTGCTGACTCCCTCATGCCCGGCAGCGCCACCAGAGACCGGGCCGGGCCAGTATCATGGGAGGTAGCAGCAGCAGGAGCCCCACAAACCATGTGCCAGGAGAGCTGGAGTGAGGGGTGGACCCCCCCCCCCC